GCAGAAAAAATGATCTACAAAGGAAACTGTACCTGTGTTATTTCTTTCTTCTGAAATAGAAATACCTCATGTCTTCTCTGTTACAGCGGATGAAAACTGAAGTAGTTTCAGTGCCCCTAGCTCAATCTAGAAAACAAATAATTTAAAAAATAGTCTTCTGAATATTTATTAYATGCCATAAAGATACAAAAAGGAGACAAGCCTATTTCTTCCTCTCTTTTCCTCACATTTAGTACACTGTTCCTCTTTAACAAGCTGCTAGAGACGGCTGTCTGGAGGCAATCTGGTTCTTATTACAAWCATGGAGCCTCTCTCCCCTCCCACTCCCAACAGGAAAAATATATCCTGGGTTTTCCAGTGAGATAATTTTAAAGATTCTAGCTTATTGATAGAGCTTGTAGTTTTGTGCTACCTACACTGGGGCCTTTGGTAAGAGCCACACCTGCTTGGCACCATTGCCGTCAGCTGCACAAAATGGGAACCCATAAATACCTGGATGTTTACTGTGTATTAGCCAAAACTAATCTGCTCTGAAAGGCATCTCTGGTTTTGGAAGATGGAGGGAGGAATACTCCTGCCGGTCACTAAATGCATCTAGCTTAGGTCAAACTAAGGGAACCGAAGTTAGGACTCCAGGCTCCACCTGTAGCTAATGGAGAGGTATTTTCAGGGGCAGTTATCTGAAGGGCATTTAAACCAGCAGTGAATAATTTGCTGTTGGAGTTTCCATTCAATGGAATTTGCTGTTGGAGTTTCCAGCAATGGGCCAATGTTAAAAGTAGCAAGGGATTGGACACACCAAGAAAAAGTTCATACTGACATAGTTTTAACATGGCAGCATCTGTTACAGTTTTAGGGTACAATTTTATGTCATTTTGTTGGATACAAAGGCAGCTTAAAAAGTTTCCTCTGCTGCCTGCTGGTATCCAGCCCTTGCAGAGAGGGCTTTTTCCTGTCTCCTGTAGGTCTCTCCATCCATGTTCCATAACAGCCTGTGGGACTTTGCAGCAAATCAGATTACTAAGACTGGGGTTGTTGGGAGCTGCTTTTTTTGTTTAGAAACAACAAAGGTTGTGGAGTGTTTGTTTGTGTTTGCCCTGAACATCTCAAGGATCTGGTTTGGGCTAAACCCACAAACCATGGCACAGCTGGGCAGGAAGAGGAGCAGACTGCAGTGCCGGCATCTATCTGCTTGTGCCTGAAACCCTCTCCAGCTCTGCTGTTAAAGAAAACACAGAAGCACTTCACAAACAACATGAACCGCCCTGATAAATAATGACCTGGTTTTGCATTGCTCTTTCTGGAGTATTGAATAAACYCTGGCTGGCAGTAAGTTGAACATGTTCATTTTGGACTTACAAAGAAAATGACAGTTTCAGCTTTTGGGTCCCTGAATTTGCCATMTTGTTTAAAGTACCAGGACAAAAGACAGGTTTGGATATTAATTTTTCCTTTTTTAAAAAAAATACATGTAACATATGTAGTCCTGTGTCTTCTTAAAACTGTATCCAAWCAACTTGATGGGGAAAGGTAGAGAAAAAAGTTGCTCACTTAAAATGTTTACTATTGCATGCCTTCTCCTGGGTTAGGTATCTCTTACTCCATATTTACTTCTGTACTGACCCAGATACTCTTGACATTTTTCAATAACCTTTTCTTATCAGCATGACCTGGATGAAGCTGCATAATTCTCTCCCTTGTTCTAGAAAAGTTAAAAGACTAGAGGAGGAGCACAAGACCTTTGTGGACCCACCATTCCATCCATCTCATTCCTAAGTGCAGGGAGGACTTCTGATTCCCTTGTGATCCCTTCAGCCACTGAGCCTAGGCTTGCTAGGAAACTTGAGTTTTACTGTAGCGATTCCTGAATTAGTTTTGTCATTTCAGTAGTAAGGTTTTTCTTTTTGTACTGCATTATTCTTGAATCTTATGTCTGTTTCTTTCTCGGGGTGCTGCTTTCTTTTTCTTTTTCCCCTTTCCTCCTTCAGTCAGACGCACACTGCAAATGGCACATACAGTGCCTCCTATTGTGGCTCAGGCTCAAGACTTCACATATGTAAAATGTGACTTGCAGCACTTTCTTTGAAGCCTAACCACAGCCAGGGAGCTGTAATTGCAGTCTTTGATTTGTGCCGACTTCACTTGTGGATTGGGCTTTGCTAGGGCATGCCTCGCCTGGCGAGACTTCAGCTGCAGCCCCCCAGTGAAGCCTTAGATGTGGGAAGTCTTCAGTCTCCTTAGCACATGCCTGTGGTTTCTTGAAAAGAATCCTGATTTGACCTGTTTTATATCTGTAAGGCAACACCATCATCACTCGTATTTTTTAGGTATTATTTGGTTTATCAGCAGTAGAAGCAATTTCCAGTGTGTAGCCTTAATGTGCAGCTGGGGAAAGGCTGGGTTCTAGATGCTGTTTTCRGGATAGCTACTGTGTAATTTGCTGTACGGCAGTACTCACTTGGAAATAAAAATACTTGGGGCTTCCCCAGTGCCTGTTCCCTTCCAGAATCACCGTGGTGTCTGCAGCCTCTCTAGCAGAGCTGGGCATAGTTAGGAGCTACGGAAAAAGGTGCCTCTGGATTGAGAAAGGAGCAATGGCCGCTGTTGGAAAAAGCTGAGGGCCAGAGCAAGGCCATGGTCGTTATTTTAACCTCCTGACTTCAAAGACATCTTGCTGRTACGGGAAGGGGGGAGGAGGCAGGGAACCATCTCAACAGAAGAGCATTTCATTTCCTTCAGTGAAGTAGACATTCCTGGCTGTTAATGGGGAGTAGCTCTGAATCACAGCGCTTGTATCAGACTGCTGTGAACTACTGGCCTGGCGCCTCAAGGCCATTCCTCAACAGGAAGCTGAATGTTTTCATGTAAGACTGAGAGGAAAACCTTCCCAGGAAGAGCAACCTAGACCAAACCTTTGAAAATCCGGGATGAAAAGGCACAAAATAAATATAAAGCTGCAGGGTGCTCTCCCCAGTGTTTCTCTGCTGTTTGCTTGGCCTCTCTTTCGTGCTCCTTGGAAAGGTAGAGCCCTTCGTAGCTCTTTGATCCGCACGTGTTACGGAGCACTGCGCTACTTTATAAAAAAAAAAAAAAAAAAAAAAAAAAAAAAAAAAAAAAAAAAAAAAAAAAAAAAAAAAAAAAAAAAAGCAGGAAGCTCAGGAGGCTTTTTTTAGTTGGGACATGGGCTGGTTTTATGAGGAAATAGGAACTGAATTAGTCAATACAGACCACCTCTGTTGAAACTGCTGGTTTGCCAGTGGACTCTTAGCTGTGCTGTTTAAGAGGCCTCAGTGGCTTTAAATGTCCTTTTGCGGCTACCAGCAGCAGGTGAAAATTATTCCTTATGTATCAGGGACGGAGTATTTGGGCAAGGAGGGAGTCTGCATCAAATCTAAGCTATACAGAACAGTTTGCTATAGATTTGTGTTTGTCTTTCTACCTTWGTCTAGCAGCCAAACTTCAGTGTCCTCAACTTTCCWTTCTACTATRAAAATAGCCACATGAGTGACCTYTGGTAAGGAGATACTTKTTTAGTAAGATTTTGGGACCTCAGCTTACACTGATTAAAATCAAAGAGTACAAAATCAGTTTTGGAGGCTTTCTACCCTGGACTATGCGAGGCAGTGTAACTCCTTACTCAGGAGCTGCCACTCTACTCAGTCACTATAGGTGAAACGCTTTGTATTGTAATGGTTTACACAGAAGCTGCAGCAGATGGGAGGTGGGTGCTCCGTTATAAATGGCCTTGGTTTAAATAACTGCTGTAATGTAATTTAATGTCAAATTTGCTGACTAATTCGGYTTGTGGCTCTTGCAGGCTTAAGCAGTCTATCTATTATGATTAGTATAAAAGAAGTTTGACTTGTGGTTTAAACCATTTCTTCATAAACTTGTTCTGTGTTGCCTTGCGTGACTCAAGGTGCTGGCAGTGTATCTTTTTTATGTGACTAAGCATTTTGTGTGTCATCTGGTGAAAATTCGTTTATCTTCTCCACTGAACTGCATTCTTGTGCTAATTTTGATCATTCTCAAAAGCTTTGCTCATTGAATCTTCTATTTGTTTGGCAGCTGAGTAGTACATGGAGACACAGAGGTTAATGTTGATTTTTCTGAGATACCAAAACCAGTTCCAGTTACTGGAGAGCATGTGTCCATGTGTGGAAAAATGTCTGACTCGCTAGACAGATTTTGGGTGGAGACCCTGTTATAACCCACTTGTCTGGATCAGAAGAGCAAGGGTGATAGCTAAGTCAGCAACTGCGTGAATCAGCTGATGCAACCCAGAGATCTAGTGAGGAAGAACTGCTCCTCTCTGAATGAGCAACTCCTGTTAGCCTTGTACTGCGGGCCATTTCACATGCTCTAAGAATATAAATCTTTCCAAGAGCCTAGTGAATTTTACTGCTAGGGAGGAGGCCCATGGTTCTTACAGAGCTGGAAGATGTTCCCTACCCTGCAGAAGAGCAGAACAAATCCTCCCCAGCCACAAGGACGGATGGTAGAATCAGTGTTCACACAAGCCTCATCCACCACATTCCTCTACTGCTTGCAGAAGACAGCATTTTTTCATTTCTGCAGGGAGCGGAGCTTGAGGCTCTGAAACAGAGATTTAATTGACCTCAACCACTGCACTGCAGTACCAAAGCCTGAGGATGTCTAGTTTTGTAATGGTATCTGGGTCAAATGCTGTAGATRAATTAAATCCACTACAAAAGGGAAGTACTTCTGTAATATGCTGGATGCTTAAAACCCCATTTTTCTAGTTGGTATCTCTTTCCAATCCAACATACTTTCCATAAATATAGTCACAAACTTCAAGCAAAAGCAAGTAGTAATAAATTCTGCATTTAACTTTGACATTGTAATGCACATTCCACTAATACACTTGTCCTAAGAGTTACCGTGACCCATCACCTACTTCTTTGAAGAGTATTTTTTTTTAAAGGCTTCATATAGTCTTTATCACTCTCTCTCTCTCTCCCCCCTCCCCTTCTCTGTAGGTGGGAAAAGAAATGCTTTCTCAACTTGCAAAGCAAAGGCGGCGACACCAGGACCCCTTCTGGAGATGGAAGCTTGTTAAACCCTAGGTGTGTCCTTCATCCACACAGACCACCCCCAAGGAGTCTGTCTAGGATGTCATTCACCCTGATGTCACTGCTAGAGACACTGAATCATAAAGACAATCACTGCCAAAATCCTCCACTATCACGAGGTCCAGCCCYGATATAAATAGAGCAAATGAGCTCCTGGGTCAGCAGAGCAGCTTTTGTCTTCACCTCTGCCTTGCACTCKTAAGCCCCCGTCTCATCTGTGTCCATGTTGAGTCAGCAAACACAGTAGCATGGCTGTCTCTGCCTGCTTCAGCCAGCAGAATAACGTAGACCACAGCTGCCCCATACAGCACATCGAGGAATGGAATTTGCCTGGACCAGGATGACACGCTCAACCTTCTTTTTATTTAATGGTGCGACAGGATCAATTTTGGTTTTAGCTTTTTTTAAGAAACTTGAATGCTTTTATATTTTAACTTTTAGTTTGTAATTTCTTTGGTGTATATTTTACTAGGTATGAGCTTTTAAACAAGTGTCAAAAATCTGAAATACTTTTTAAATAAAAGGAGTTTTTCTTTTTTTTTTCTTTTTTTTTTTTTCTGCCAGAGGAAAAATCTGTATGGAAAAAAGGTGGCTGTTTTGTTAAACTATTTGTAACAAATAGTGGCCTCTCAGTCTATATAATACAGTGTCCTATAGAACTAAATAAATGTAACAACAGTCAGCTGGTCAGTAGACATGTTAGTCTTGCATCATCTACTCTGTAAACATAAGCAATACATCCAGCAAATCTGACTGCAGTGAGTTCTCCTTCTCACCCATTCCCCTTCTCCTTGTAAAAAGCCCAGCACTTGAATTATTACTTCAATTGTTCTGTATTTGTATCTGTTTTTGTTAGCCTGTTAGTGGGATTTTATGCCAGTTGTTGAAATGAGCATTGATGTACCCATTTTTTAAAATAGTAAGGCACAGCCTTTGCCAAAAATACTGTCAACCAATTTTTTTTGTCATTCCAGTTTGAGTTAATGTGCTGAGCATTTGTTTTTTAATAAAAGCTTTGTAATAAAACTGAAGTCAACTGTCTTAAAAATGTGCTGAAAAAAAGGAAAAAAGAGAATGGTTTGTGCTAGAATTCCTCAAAAGTAAAAGCAAGCCCAGGAAGGTACAGTCACTTGTAAGGCTGAAGACTTTTGGCTCAGTCTTCTCTTCCAGGAAATGCAATGTGTCTGTTTGGCTCTTTGCTTATCTGAAGTGATTTTGGAAAATGACTTTCTCTTCAAAAGTGAGCAGAAGYCTCAGTTTCATACCAGGAATAAGGAATGAGGAAGCTCCATGCTCCCTTGTGCTGCTCAGTTTGCTTTGGCCTAAAGGGAAGTACTAAGGATCCCTCCATCTTCATTTTCCTAGCAAATCTTAGTGAASGAGCAGTGGTTTAAGCTGATGATTAGGAATATGGATTCCTTCCCTTCTTTCTGGACRCAGCCCATGCCCACACAAGAGGTAGACACCTACAGGTAAATTTCTTATAGCTGTATAAATTATCTCAGAGCCAGGGACTGAAGCTGGCTGCAGAATCAGCTGTGGAAGGCCTGCTTTCATGCTCTGAGATCCAGGGTCGGCATGACCTGCCTACTGCCAGTGCTGCCTGCGAGATGGTCCTGCCACAGCAAGCAGCACAGCTGCCTCACTTCTGCTAAGGGATTTAAAAAAAAACAAACACTGGAGCCATAGATAAACTAGCCCACTGATTTGGGAATGCAAAAGAAATATTATAAACTGTACATTGAATCTGCAGTCCTTGTATTCTAGCTCCCAAATATTGTTTGGTGTGAAACTGGACTGAGTCAAGCTTAAGCTACAAGAAATTACATAGGTCAATTACTGCCTAAGGAAGCTTTGGAATTGGATTGTTTATAAATGACCCTTTAACTCTGTTGCATAAGAAATTCCATAATYAAAAATGTTATAAAACAGCTTCCTCTTAAACCAGGGTGCACTGCACACAAGCCCAGTTTTAAGGCTGTAACCAGCATATTAGTTCTTGCAATCTTTATTTCTAGCAACTAGTGATTATGTTAAAAAAAAAGAAAGATAAACAAATGACCAGGCTCTCAGATGGTGAAGAAAATATCTCTTGAGAGAACAGCAACTGTATACCGGAGTTTTGCAAGACTTGGCTATGTTTCTATTCAATTATCCCAGCCTTTGCTGGAAACCTGTCTGGCTTTTGGTTTGGGGTTTGGTTTTGTTTTCTAAAGGGGAAAAAAGGCAACTACTTAGTGCAGTAATTGTTCCAAATCAAGGATTACTGCAGTGAGATCTGTAAATTACATGTTCCAAAGACAACAGTTCTTTTTAGAACTTTATAAAACACGAGTACTTCATTTARATTTTTTTAATGGCTATTTAAAAAGACATTTACCCACTCTGAAAAAAAATTGTTCCCAATAGAAGTGTCGGCTTTATGTAGCACATTGTCCCAAATACACTGTTGTGAAAAGTTGCCTGTCTTAAGGACAAAAGGTCTTTCAGCTCTAATAGTGAAGAAAAAGAATTTGGGAGCTAAAAATAATATCTCTGCTGTTAACACACAGTGAACAAGCACCATGTGTTGGGCTCATTCACAGATCAAAGACCTTTCACATACAGCAGCTATGGGAAAGGTTAACTAATACGCACGGCTTAGCACGCTGTCATGAGAGCACCTGAAAGAGTGACCCGGCTATCCCGGAATACCCTCTGTGACTGGGCTCTGTGTCCTGCCCTCCCCTCTAATTGCCATTGGTTCCTGTGGGACCAAAAGAACAAACTGACCTGGGCCCTCATGTACYGCGCCAGCTTGTCAGTGGAGACAGATGAGCCAGTAAAGGGGGCCAATGTGATGATGGCTGTAAGACTTGGTTTAAATCCTTGTGACACACAACGAATTATTCCGGGTGAGACTCAAAACCAGCACCTAAATTCCTGATGTGCAATTTAGGCAGAAGTCAGAATCTAACCTGTCTCTTTTGGGTGCCCGAGGAGATGATTATCCTGTATTTCGCACAGAAAATGTCTTCAAGGATTTAAATGCTCCTACCTAATGGCTGAGTTAATTATCCAGACACTTCTGTACAAGTATTCACAAACCATCCTCTCCCCCCACAACTGGTTCCGTGCATGTGCTAAAAGCAGYTCTTGCATGGATCATGGCCTAGGTAGTCTAGTTTATAAACACAGAGCTATCCAGTACCCAGGAAACGCACAGCATTCCCCCTCCCCTCACCGAAAACAGTGGACACAGAACAGAGGAGTTGAGCCAGGATTATTTACAGCTAATCAGGCCAACATCACAGGATGATCTGGCTCCTCAGGCTTCTGGATCACCTGGACCAGGGCCATTTTCCCTGTGTTACATAAGAGAACAATGCTTCAGCTAACYGACTTCCTACACAGCAAGTGATGACAGATTCACTAGCTGTGCTTATAGGGACTCACCAGCTCTGCAAAATTATCTTCTGTTGTAGTTTCCGCCCTGGATTAGCCAACAGAGAAGGCAGTAACTTAGCTGTACAAGGAAAAACTCGATAGCTGGGCCAATTTGCAGCAAAGATAGGACCTTATGGGCCCAATCCTTGCTCCAGGCTCTAGGACAGCAGACTCCACAGCATCAGTTGTCTGCGCTCATTTGAAACCAGTACAGTGCACGAGGCTTTGAAGCAACCCTCCTGTTTCCTGGTGGCCTCCTGCTCTGATCTACATGGCAGCTAATTAGACTAAAGCAAGACTGGCAGAAAACGAAGGACACTACTGAGACTAAGAAATGCCCCATAACCTCCCCCATAAGGCAGCTGCAGTTTGTTCCCTTCATTTGCCAGGGCACTAACATGCAAGGAAGCCTCTCCTCCAGCATAAGGGCCTAACACAAAGTAAAACATTATAGGGGAAAGAAGTAACTCCACAAATAGCCAGAAGTCTGTCAGCTATGAATACATTTCTCCTAATGTGAAAAACTACGGAGCTAAAAGGAAAGTCAGCCAAAAGGAGAGCAGTTGTAACAGGAAAATGGTCAGCTGTAAACACATTCTGAGATGAAACCAAAACCCTAGAAAGTATGCCCAAACATATTCGTTTTTCCACTTGACACATCAGGAAGAGAAACTCTGCATTAGTGTATAAATTTACCCTTTGAGTCTCCTCACAGATACAAAAGTCAGCTTTAGAAAGCCAAAAAGCTTTAGAAAGCCRAAAGGGACATACCTGCCAGAAATACAGGAAATGAACCTCTTAATGATCAGTTTTTGGCCAGGTCAAAACGAGGATTGAGGTACTGCTCTCCATCCTCCAAAATAAACAGTCATGCCTTCAGGCCATGGATTTTAAATGATATCTTCTCTTTGAGTGGGACACTGCTGCAACAACCATGCACTGAAACACAGAAACCTGCTTGGCTGAGATAACACTCAGTGTCTACCTGGTCTGGGACACTCAGGTYTTCTTCTTGTGAATGATGTTCTACAAAACACATTTTGATAAACTCACCCATCCCRCCTTCCAGAAACCCAACACATACAAATAAGCAAGAGGTTCATTAACTTGTCAACTATGGAAAACCAGCATAAACCAGCAGAGCGAGGGGAAAAATTTCTGCTTCATACTAAAAGATCAGCTTACCAAGAAGTGTTATGTCCTCTTCACTGTGCTGACATAATAAACTGTGCATCATAATAATAACTGACATAATACAATCTTCAGAAGAATAAGAAAAAYAGCATACTCCAAAACTGAATGCTGGTCAAGAGTTATTTGAAGAGGTCATTCTTTGAATTCGTATGAATTTCCGACAGCTAAGAAAAGTGTTTTTTAAAAAGTCTGACAGGATGTCTATTTGGCTGAGTTAAGACATCTCTGTCTTTCAAGACAGAAAAAAATGCCACAGAAACAAGGATTCAGATCTTGACAAAGTAAAATGCTATAGAAGGATTAGCTTTTCTTGGCATCTGCCTGTGAAAGCAAAGTGCTGAGTAACAGAAGAGGAGACAGCACACAGAACAATGTGGCAGTGTCTACATCCTTTGACTGAAAAAAGCCAGAGCTGGACAAGATTCTTACACTTCAGTTGCAGCTTTGCTACCCTGAAATATGTTTCCTTTTACTCTTCTTCTGTGAAATCTCTTTAATTTTGTCATGACTAACAGCAGCAACTTCTTTCATTCTATGCTCTATTAATCTTAAATTAATAGGCAGTAATCATATTTGCAAACAAATCATGTGACAGAACAGTCACTGCTTTTTGCCTGTAAAGACCTGATAGCTTCAAACTGCATGCAACTTTTTATGACAGTATCTTGAAAGAATTCACAATCAAAACACCTTAATCTAATAACCCTCAACAAATTTAACCATGAATGGTTTTAGTCACTGTTTGAAAATTCAAATTTTTATAAGGAAGATTTCACAGATGGGCTAAGTTTCCCTTTGTGTGGGACTGGTATAATTGCATGACCCAAAAATCAAACCATTTGCAGCACTCAGTTAATCACTGAGCACTCTAGTTCTGCTACACTGGTACTGTAAAGCAGTTATTACCCATGTTTAATTGTTTAGTATGTGTGAATTTACTGAAATYACTTACTGAAACTGAATTCCAAGCAGTTTCCCAGTATTCAAGCAATTTATTCCCTTCTTCCTCTAGTCCATTTGATTTCACTTCTGCTGTAGGGTTTCTCCCTCCTCCCCCTTCTCTCTTGTGTTTGACTGACTCCCATGCTCTTGGCCTGTCCTCACTGGCAGAAAGAGTTCCCTGCTGACAGAACAACATTGCTAACTGCTCTTGCCCACTCAGAGGCAGTCTCCTCTTTCCAATGAGCTAATGCTGGACTTCCTATGAACATAAAGCACWGGTCTAATGCCTATATTGTATTTTCATTCTGTCCAGTTTGGAAATAAATACAATCTGAAGGAAGARTGAGGAGAAAGACTATTTTCTAGGCAACTGAAAGAAGAATTTCCCTGCCTACCTATTCCCCAAGCATATTTGAAGGATGGTCTTCCTTAGCTCGCAGGYATGTTGTGAGGATCAGATACCATTA